AGGTGAAACCCGTCGGTGTAGGGTGCTCTCCTCAGGCGCCCGACACGCGCAGGGGCAGCCGCGGGAGACCCAAACCCTCCGTCCGGAGCGTCAAGCGCAGGGACACCCCACTACCACACCAAGCCTGGCTGGTGGCACGTGTGGAGGTGGTTCCGGGTCTGTTCCGAAGTCCCCTCTGGAGCCCCACCTCGCCCCCCCCCAGCCCAGCCTCCGGCTCCTCGTCAACGCTGCTTTGCTCGTCCGTCCACCTCACCCACTGTCTCCTCCTCTCTTTCAGAGGATGTCCAGATGACCGACAAGATAACCATCTCCAAGCAGTTCAAGGAAAAGGTTATTCGCCCCATCTTGAAGGTACAGATGATTTTTTTTTCCGTGGCTTATGTTTCAGGTCGCCGAGTCATTCGGTGCAATGCCCATGTCCCTCACCCCGCTGTCTCCCGGCTGTGAGATGAGTGACGTGACGTCATTTTGTAATTTTCAGCCACTGAGAAGTAAGGCCGGAACCCAGCAGAAATAAATAACAGCATCTTATTCACTCCCCGTGCTCTTACATTAGAGGGGCGGCGTGAGACAAGGAGGGGGACCCGGGGTGGGAAGTGCTGCAGTGGGATTTGGGGGGTTCTCTGCTCTCCCCAGGGCCACCATCTGCTCAGCTCCCGCGCCGCTGCAGAGGGGCCAGGAAAACCTGACCGCAGCGACACGTCCCGATGACCTCAGGTTCCTTTTAAGACGTTTCTGAAGCACTCCAGGGCGCTGCTCACCTGGCAGCTCCTACAGAGACCAAGAATTTGGCCTCCCGGCGGGAGGCTCCGATGGGAGCCTCGGAACCGGGAGAGCCGGAGAGCATCGAGGGGTGTTACTGTAAGTGGCTGGGGCAGGAGCAAACAGCAGCAGGGGCTGGAGCTGGGCTTACGCCGCAGGAGAGATTCGCTTCGAGTTCCTCTTGCCATCTCCAGGGAGCTGATTCCTCCCCTAAGCCACGCTGAGAGGTTCTCCTGACGACCTGAGCTCTGGCAGCACGGGTTTCCAGCTCCATGGCGTGGGGTGGGATGGCTGCCGGGGCCTCGCTCCACGGATGCGTGAGCTGTCGGAGGTGGAGGGCATCCCCGGGGAGCTCCTCCTGCAGCGTCGCTGTCACCGCTGTCCCCCATCGGGGTCACCAGCCCTGTCCCCGCTGACCTTCACCCCTTGTGCCTGCAGGCTCACTTCAGACGAGACGAGTTCCTGGGGAGGATCAATGAGATTGTCTATTTTCTCCCTTTTTGCCACTCGGAGCTCATCCAGCTTGTCAACAAGGAGCTGAACTTTTGGGCCAAGAAGGTAAAAACCCTCCATGGCTTTGGAGGTAACTTCTCAAGGGATGCGTGAGCAGGAGGAAAGCCCTGCCTGAGCCTTCATCCTCCTGATGTGGAAGCAGGGTGAATGTACATCTTTACCATAGTCTTCCGCCCCGTTCAACACGAGGGGACCCTGCTCAGGAGGGTAGGGACCTCTTGGGGGACGGTTCCGCCTGCGTTGGGGCGGGGATGAGCTTCGGGCCACGTTCAGAGACATTATTTGTCTAATTGGTCTTTGCAGATCTGGGATCTCAGGGGGTGGGGGGGCTAAATGGGAATTAGGGGACCGCTTGCTTTGGTGGGTCCGGCCTGGTGGAGCTCTCGGTGCCCTTTCTTCCTGGGCCCAGGGAGGCTCACACCCCACCGTGCTGCCCGTGGTGTCCCTGCTGCTCCAGGAATGGGGCGCCGGGGTTGCCGGAAGGCGTCAGTGACTCTTCCTCCTCTTCCTCACCCGGCAGGCCAAGGCGAGGCACAACATCACCCTGCTCTGGGACAGGGAGGTCATGGACGTGCTGGCTGACGGCTACAACTTGCACTACGGTGCCCGGTCTATCAAACACGAGGTAAAAGCCAAGGACGGAGCAGGGGCTCCACGCCGGAGCGCGGGCAAAGCCCACGGCACGGGCCTCCAGCCCTGCTCCGCACGGGGGGCAGCCAGGAGGGTCACAGCCGGCGCGCTCCAGGAGGAGACGGGGAATAAGTAGGATGGGCAGGAGATCCTGGGATCCTGCGCTGCCCGAGGGTGGGAAGGAGAGCTGCCCGGCTCCCCGGGAGGCTGCTCGCAGGAAAAACCATCGGGTTTTTCTGATGGGAGCTGGTTTTTCTTCCCCAGGTCGAGCGGCGGGGAGGG